CTCGTAATCTTTTCACTGAAACTGGTGGAATTAACAGTTGAGTTGCCGAAGAGTTAAAGAAAGAAGTAAAAGAAAAACTAATCCCTCAAAAAGAAACCATCGTCGTTTTCGATGAAGCCCACTTCAATGATGCCGGTTATCAATCTCTCCAATTCGAAATGATAAAAGCCGGTTATAACTGCTTAAGAATGTCTGCTACTTTTCCCGGAGCGGAATTCTCCACCACTTCTTCTTATCCCATGAAAAGAATTCATTGCGATGGCCCTATTGATCCGAACATGCCGGGCGGATTAATGATTTACCAAAATGCCGAGCAAGTAGAAAAATTAGAAAACTTACGGGGAGTTCCGGTCGGCAGTATTAAATGAAGGGATGAAAACGGTTTACCCATTCCCATTGAAGTCAACTCGGAAGAAAGAATTCAAACGGGAAATACTTGGATTTTTGGGAAAAACCTAGAACTAAGTGATGAACAAATCCGAACTTTGGGCAATAATGTCTCTTACATGGTCTATACTCCCGAATTTGACGAGAATTGTGAGGATATTTCACATGGTCGGCCAAAGGGTTCCGCCGATAATGTTGATGACAGCAAAGCCATGGGTTATACTCCCAGAATAGATACGGTGATTTGTTTAGGAGCCATTGAAACCACTAATTTAGGAAAATACTTTACTTATTCTGATCCTACTCTTGGATTTATCGACATTTTTAATTTAGTTCAGGAAATGGGGCGGGTTTCTCGAACCAGTTATGGTTTAGCCATTACCCTAACCAAAGAATGTGGAGAAGTTGATTTAAGTGATAATGTTAGTGCGGCTATGGTCCGAACTACTTTTAACGGCGATATCAAGCAAATTAACGACAAAGAGTATAAGCAGATTTACGATATAGATATCTTGCGGGGAGCCTTGGCTTATCCGGATCCGAAAACTTTCGGCAAAGCCCCGGAAGAAATTCTTATGGGTCTGAAAATTACCAAAGACCAACAATCTAAAAAAGAAAAATTAACTCAACTAGTTTGACGGCAGGATAACGAAGAAGATAAAAAAGAAGCCATGGCTAAACCTTGATATGCCTTCATGGCCAAAGACATTAACCCCAGTGAAAAGTTGTGAAATCGCTACTTAGGAAAATCCGACAAAATTACCATGGGCGAAGAAACCGCCAAGAATTTATTAAAAGAAATGATTTCTAATTTTATCACCCAAAACAAAAAATATCCTCAAGGGCTAGACTTAGAAAATCAAGCCAAATTTATCGGCTCGGTGTTTGGCACTAAATTGGAACAAGGAAAAAAAGAAGAAGTAATTAAAGAAACCCGCACTGTTTTAAATGGTCTGGTGGAAGCCAAAGTAAACGAATTAGCCGCCAAAGATTACGATGAGACTAACAAAAGAAGTAAAAACCCTAACACCATTAAAAAATTAAGCGGATTATATAACTTAACCAATGCCACCATTGATTATGAAAAAAGAAAGAATAGTGAAGGGAAATTAGTGTGAACTTTATTAATAAATGCTTAAAAATATGAATCAACAATTAACTCAAAAAGAAATAGACTGGAGAATAGCCAGAGCCCAGGCTCATTTAGCCACAATTGCCAACTCCCAAACTTTTAGGAGAGAAATTGAAGTTACGGAAAAATTGGCTCAAAAAGAAGGCATTGAAGCCTATTGAAAATTACAGGATAAACTATCCCGCGAACTTTCTAACCATCTCATAAATTATAAAGGCAGTAGCGAAGCCACTTTTTATGTTTTGAAATTGGCAAATATTCTAAATGGCATAGAAACTCCGGAAGAGAAATGATACCGAATTAGAGAAAATATTAAGGAATTTTTACAAGGGGATGAGGATATCTCTAAGTCAGAAACTTTAAAAAAACTAACCGAAGAAGCCATAAAAGAGGACACCATGGATGGATATCGTAATTTATTGAAATCTTTCAGAAAAAGTTATGAGGAATTGGTTAAGTTGAAAGGGGGTGAAACAGGTGCTGATAGTTTTTTAGAGAAAATGACGGGAGTAGTTCACGACAAAAAGCAATAATTATGGACATCGGATGCACATTAGGAATGACAATCTTGGGGTTGGGACTTAGTGCCATGGGCTACGGGTATAAAATGCATGTTGACCGCAAAACCCTCAAATTAGAAAAAAATGACCTAGAACACCAACGCAAACATTTAATAAATGAGGCAAGAATTAAAGGGTTGGAAAGTGATTTATCACTTGTTAAGGCTTTTAATAAAGACTTACAGAAAAAAAACGGAAGTGAACAAAAACAGATTGACCAATTGAAAGAGCGATTAGAAAAACAAGCTGAAAAATTAGAAAGTATTGTTAAAAAATGTCAAAAAAAAGAAAAGAAATAATATGCCCGAAAATCAAGATCTAATTAAATTATTGCAAGAAAGTCAAAAAACTAATCGCATTACCACCATTACTAGTGTTTGCACAGTGGTTTTAGGTTCGCTTACTACACTAATTTTGGCTTGAAAATCTTTATTTCAGAAAAAAAGACCTAGTGCTGCTTTGCGGCTAATAAGAATAGAAGCGGCCATGGCTAGACTACAATTAGAGAAAGAACATCTTAAAAAAGAAATAGCTCATGAGGCTGAAAGACTGAAATTAGAA